AGGGGTGCTGCCTGGCTGCGGCAGGGCTCTGGGGTCAGGGTCTCCCCGCTTGGCCTCTGTGCGTGCCGGGACAGTGCGAGTGGGAGCTGCAGCCACAGGCTGTTCCCCAGGCTCTGGGAACAGCCGCTGCAGCCAGTGCCCAGGGCCGAGCCGGCCAGGAGCCTTCAGTGCAGCAGCTCTGTGTAGTGCCAGTCCCAGCCCTGGCCCCTTGAGGGGAGCTGCGGGTAGGCAAGGCTGGGGCCCAAGCAGGTTGGGGCAGATGTGATAGCTCTTCCCAGGGTCCAGTGGGTTCCCACAGCCAGGCCTTTGCACTAGGGACAGCTCTGCCCTGCTTGCACTATGCCTAGTGTGCAGGGAGGCCGATCCTGGGGAGGGAAGCCCCACCAAGCCTGGAGTCCTGCCCCAACCAGACAGCATTGCCTTGCCTGCAAGGTGCCTGCAGCCCATCCCTGCAGAACTGTGGGGGCCAGGTCAGACTTCACTGTGGGTACCGCCAGGCATTTCCGCCTGCATGCCCACCACAGCTTGAGCCCGCAGAGCCCCAGGGCAGCCCCCACTTCCCACCCAGCCCCCACCAGGCTGGTTTGCCCATAGCACCTCCCCCCATGCCACCCAGACCCTACCCCAGCACTCAGCACCCCAGCAACTTAAAAAAAAAATTAAACAATTTACTTTGCTGGGAAAAATGTCTCCACGTGCCATTAATGGCATGTGTGTCAGGGGTTGCTCACCTGGATTTACACCTTTCAGCTGGACAAAGGCCTCAAATCATGTCAAAATACCATACGGACTAAATACCAAATAAACTAGACTGTTCGCCATATTTCATCTGAGATTAAGAAAGACACCCCCCACACCCCAAGGCCATTTATCTCAAGTAAAGAGATAAATGGCCTCAAGCATCTTCGCTTAAATTACATTTAAAAACTCCTGCTTTTCCAAAACTCAGGCATCAGGTAACCCCTTAAGGATTACTCTGCTTTCAGTTTAGACATGCAATTTTCAGTGATATTAATGGGTATTATAGCTGTCAAGTGAGTTAATAGCCCCTTTGAGTATATATGTTTCTTACCTCGGGATACCCAGAGTGACATTCATTTCACCTCTGCCAGCAAAATGAAAGGTGTTCAGAGTCATCTGTGTAGAAGGCTCCCCAATGCTTTGAGCAGCAAGTAGGCCCACAGCTTCTCCTGGGTCACACAGGGATCGCTGCCACTTTAAATACAGCAAGTTCTTCAGTCTAAAGAAGGATCGGGGATGATGACACATAAAGGGTTAGCTCAAAGTAGAACACGAACTCAATACAAGATTGAGGCACTGCTCTGCTTTGTACAGGGATGGGCAAAGTCCAGCCCTTGGGCCAGATGTGGTCAGCAGTGAACTCCACTTCCCAGTCTCCCCTACGCATGGCTGAGGCTGGTCTCCATAGAGACCTCAGCCCCAGCTGTGTGGGAAAGTTCAAGGCTGGGGTTCCCATGGAGACCAGCCCCAGCCCTGCTGGCAGGGCACATGGCAGAGCAGGGCAGGGGGCTGCTCCAGAGCTGCTGGAATCTTGCGATGGGGCAGCTTGCTCCAGAGCCAGGGAAAGCCGTGATCTGTAGCGTGCGTGCTCCGGGCAGGGGCACGCAAGCAGGGGATCATGCCTCTGCCCCGGCTCCTTGCAGCAGTGACAGCCTGGTGTGGAGCCAGGGCACAGCCATCATCCCCTGCCTGCACGCCTCCACCTGGAGCACGCAGGCTACAGATCGCAGCTCTGCCCTGGCTCTGCAGCAAGCTGCCCCCCTTGCAAGATCCCAGCAGCTCCGGGGGAGCTCCCTGCCCTGCAGGCTCTGCCTCACATGCTGCCAGTGTGGCTGAGGCTGGTTTCCATAGCAACCCCAGCCTTGAGCTTTCCCATGCAGGTGGGGCTGGGGTCTCCATGGAGACCAGCCCCAGCCATGTTCCCAGGGGGCTGCTGGGAAATGGAGTCCAGCTACTGGCCAGATCAGCCATTTTGCCCACCCCTGGCTTAGCAGAATTCTGTAGGTCAGAAAAGGATTATTCTTGCACAGGAGGTCACTACATCACTGTTAAATCTGAAAGACAGCTTGCTAGTCTGAGCACAGAACTGAGAGCCGTTGAGCAAGTTACTCTCTTTGTAAAGTGAAGATATGTTTATTTCTACTTGCTATTCTTAGCTACTTCACTGAGGTGCCATGAGAATAAATGTGAGGTTTTTTTATAGCGTTAAAGTATTATATATACATGCAACACTAGAACAGCACAAGAAGATTGAGAGCCACTTCCCACTACCCTTAAATCAAAACGGCAGCTCTCTTGGGATCCAGGACTAACTAGTTGGTACAAGTGCAGGAAACAACCTAATAATACTACTCAATTCATCTGATTAACACAAAGAATTAGTAATTCAGTATTTGCAAATGGTGTTGGATTTTGTCAACCTTCTAGACACCAAACAGAAATATACTTTGTTACAACTACTTTAGAGATACCAACCCTATAGAAAAAGTGTATCTGTTGTCTGAGAGTACTATCAAAGGTATCAATTATGCTAATAGTTTTGTGCTAGACACACTTGTCTCCAAATAACCATATTGAGATTCACTAATTTCACAAAACCCAAGACAGAGAGAACCAAGGGAGAATTTTTTTCAGTATGAACCTGGACCCAAATGATTTTTTTTTTTGTGTGTGCACATACAGCTGTAAACAACTAGCAAGAAATTACCTATCATAAGAAAGCTCTGATTTTACATAGTTTCTGTTGTTCTGAGCTTCCCATTCCCTGATATAATTCTCTACTCCCACTTCAAATGTTTCTGAAATAGAGGCAAAATGAATATCTGGACGCCAGACAGCAAGGCTGGGATCAGGACATTTGGAGGTCTTCTTTAAATATTTTCTCCGTTTCTTCTCATCCAGTTCATACCACATGCTCAGTAACTGAAATTAAGAGCAAATGTTAAGGAAGCCCTAGTTTATCCATCATAAGACTAAAACACAAGGAACATTTTTCCAGTTGTACATCAAACCACTGAGACTGGAAAAAGATTACTAGTGTAACAGCAAGACAGCACCAGATGGCACATGCACAGCACAGTCATGCAGTTAACAAAACCTTTCTACATCATCGGGATCTTTTATACATCATGCATTTGACCCCAAAGGACCTTTAAACATGACACCAGCTTAACATAGATACAGCAGATGGGTGACCAGTCACATCACCCACTGGCAAAATGCTGCCACCTCTGAAAGTGAATGCCCAATTGTTTAATAGTAAGCATCAACTTCATGTAGCCATTTTAGGACAAAGTGAAAAATAACCTCTTTCAATTATAACTAGAGCAGGGAGGACAGGACAATTCCCTTGCCTTCCATGGACTCAAACCAGATATAAATTTGGCCAGGAGTAAGGAATATTACATCTTAAGCTTTATATTATATGTAGATTCATTGTTCTCAAGGTTATTGGAATTATTACTAATATTAACTTTAAGGTACGTGTACAAATCAAACCAATACCAAAACGCACGATAGATTCATCCATCTGAGCTACAGGAGCTAAAGTACACCAAACTAAGTGAAACTTAGAGAACTTTCATTCAGAACAAGAAAGCAGTCACAGCAGAACTAACTCTGCCTTGTTTGAATGTGACAGATATCAGTGAGGTTAGCAGAGTTGCACCTGTTTACATCCTATGCCTGTACATTGGCTCTTAATTAGAAGCTCATGGGGAATGGTTAGTGTGCTGGTTTTAAATTGCTATAATGCTCGAAATGCCAGACAGGTCAGCCACAGCCCTTCCATGTAAATGGACTTCCATCCAAGCTGGCTACATGTTAGTCTTTCAGAGGGGATCTACTCTGTGGGAATGTTAAAGATCTGGTGACTTTTTGGTAAGAGCAGTTTTACCTGAGTTCTTGGCCTCTCCTCCCACAGACACTAGGGGCACTGACAGATGTGGGGAAACAAAACAAACCAAAGAACGAAGAGGAACCACATTAGTTTGACCCAGATTGCCCAGCACCTGTATAGCTAATCAGCTATTAGATAAAAGCACCAAAAAGCCCCGCTGAAGCACATGATCTATACAGATGCTGTGCGAGCCAGGTCAAACTGATGTGGTTCTTCTTCTGGGCATGTGCTGTGCTTGGTGCAGAGGTGCACTGAGCTGAAAGTAAAGTGCCATTTTTCCCCCTCAAATCTGTCAGCAGCTTAGGTGGCTGCTGCACTAGGAGGACAGTCTACCTCAAAAAGCACCTACATTTCAGCAGCTTGTGAAGTGCTCTGGGAAAAAGGATACCAATTTACAAAAAAGCATTTTTTAATTATTATTGAGCCCTGCGTTTGAGCAGTTCAGTTGCTTTTCATATTACCTGCTGAGTGGCAGGACTTCTGCCATTTTTGGTCTCCCCTTCAGAGATCTGTTCTCTTAAACTTGCCATTTTTTTCTGTGTGAACAGCAGAAAGGCTCCTTCCCTTGCCAAAGAGCTTTGGTGCTTGGCTTGCCACTTTTTGATGGCTCTGAATTGTTGACTTGCTTGATGAGGATCCATCCTGGATAAAGCTTCATCCAAATGCTTAGACTTCTCTATCACCTAGGAATAGACCCAAGGGAAATTAGACAAATTCATGAAGCTTGATAAACAATTAATGGAGCTCTATTAATAGCTATTAAACAGAACAGTCAAGGGATGTATCCTATGACAACCCTAAAGCAGCAACAGTGGAATCCAAGGAGGGTATGACAGTGGATGGATTATTCTAGACATACCCTGTTCATAAGATTATAGGATCATAGGAAAGTAGGACTGGAAGGGACCTCACAAGGTCAAACTGTCCCTCACTAAACCAGGCCAGCCAAATGTCTGTCTAACCTCCCCTTGAAAATTTCCAGGAAAGGAGATTCCAGTTTCTCTAAGTACCCTGTTTCAATGCTTGATCACCTTCATAGTCCAAAAGTTTTTCCTAGTCTTCCACCTAAAATTTCCTCTGCTGAAACTTGAGGCCGTTGCTCCTAGTTCTGTCCCCTACAGCCACAGAGAAAAAGCCAACTCCATCCTCTTTCAAAACCCTATACAGTGATTATACATCCATTATCAGATCCCCCACCTTTTCTTCTCCAGACAAATAGTTTCATAGTTTCATAGTTTCTAGGGTCGGAAGGGACCTGAGCAGATCATCTAGTCCGACCCCCTGCCATGGCAGGAAAGAGCACTGGGGTCAAACGACCCCAGTAAGGTGGTCATCCAACCTCCTCTTAAAAACCCCCAGGGTGGGAGCCTGTACCACCTCACTTGGAAGCTGGTTCCAGACCCTAGCCGCCCTGACCGTGAAGTAGCGCCTCCTGATGTCCAACTTAAACCTTCCCTCCGCCAGCTTGTGACCGTTGTTCCTGGTCACTCCTTGCGGCGCTCGGGGGAACAGGGACTCCCCCAGCGCCTGCTGATCCCCCCTAACCAGTTTATAACAGGCCACAAGATCCCCCCTCAGCCTTCTCTTTTGAAGGCTGAACAGGTTCAGGTCCCGCAACCTTTCCTCATAGGACCTACCCTGCTGTCCCTTGATCATACGAGTGGCCCTCCTCTGGACCCTCTCGATGCTGTCCACATCCCTCTTAAAGTGCAGCGCCCAGAACTGGACGCAGTACTCCAGCTGCGGCCTGACCAGTGCCGCATAGAGGGGGAGGATCACCTCCTTGGACCTGCTTGAGATGCATCTGTGGATGCACGACAAGGTGCAGTTGGCCTTCCTAGCCACCTCCCCACATTGCTGACTCATGTTCACCCTGGAGTCAATAATGACTCCCAGATCCTTTTCCACCTCCGTGCTGACAAGAGGGGAGTTCCCCAGCCTGTATAGTTCAAGTTCTTTTAGCCTTTCCTCAGTCATAGGTCAGGGCTCTCATCATTTGTGTTGCTCTGCAATGGACTCTTCCCAATCTGTCTACACCTTTCTTTAAGCGTGGGGCCTAAAACTGGACACAGTATTCCAGGTATAACTTTACCAATGTTCATATGTTCTCCCTTTAAAGCAGTGGTGCTCAACTTTTCTGCCTGGTGAGCAAAAACTGGCAGTGCCTGGTCTGTCTACAGTTTGGATCCAGCCAGTGTTCCCAATCCGGTGACCAGACAGGCACAGTGGGCACCATCTGACCATGTGGAAGGGGGCAGAGGGCAGGTCAGTCTCAATACAGCCCTGCAGGGGACAGAAGCTTGACCTGGCCCCACAGAGAAGGGGATGTGACCTGGCCCTGTATGCAAGGGGGGCGGGGCCAGGTTCCAACCTGGCCCCATAGGGAAGGAGGCATGGACCAGCCCCAAAGGGAGGGAAGGATGCATGGCCCAGTCCTGGGAGGAAGGAAGCATGGCCAGGTCCCAACCCAGCACCAGAGGGAGGGAAGGGGGCATGACCTGATGCCAATCCAGAAGCTGGGGGGTGGTGGGGGAGGGCAGGGGTTGGTCTGGCTGCACATGAAAAGGAGATCACACCCAGGCCTGGCCCCGACCAACCACGTGGGGCTTGAAGTTTGGGAATTTGGTAGGGGAGAGGGTGGCTCCCAAATTTCCTGACCTGTAGGAAGCCCTGCGGGCCACCTGCAATGGCTCCACAGGCCACATTTGGCCCGTAGCCTGGAGGTTGAGCACCCCTGCTCCAAAGCATATGCTGCTGCCACTGTCAGAAACAGGATACTAGGCTAGATGGATCATTGGTCTAATGCATTATGGCACTGCTTATGCTTTTACATCCTCTAAGTATCCGCAGGACAAGTCCTGCTGCCCAACTGAAAAATACAGAGTAGAGTTGAAAATGGCATATGCTTGCCTATAAAAATCTTTAGTTCCTGTAACAACTTATTCTATAGGGAAGTGATTGGCTCTGGTGAGGCTGCACAGTGAAGCAACAGTGGATTCATATGAACTGTAGATGTTAAAGGGGAGGGCAGGAGATATGTGGATGCCTGAAGCTCCACAGAAAAATCAGACCATGGCTAAAATATTCCAGTATTAAGACACACTCCCATATTTTGACTGAGCTATGAAAATAAAAACTATTCTAGTAGAGATAGAAAAGGCATGTTCTCAGATGGTGTCCTAGGAACAATTATGCCACTAAATTATTAGCAGCCAATAGTTTTCCTTTTGCCCACTTAAGTGCAACATCTTTGTACTGTACCTCATAGTTATCTGCAATGAAAGGAAACTGCTTCGGTTGCAGGAACGGAGTCTTTGGAATATCAAGCCCATCTTCACCATATAGGAACTGCACCACACTGCCATCGCTGTCCCGCACAGTTAGATCATACTGAACCACCAGCCCTTCCAAGTGCTTAATGATACACCTGCAAAAAACTAGTGCTGTCAGGTATTATAAACCAACTAGATCACTACAGATTTTTAGCTTGAAACGTTACTCAAAGCAGTATTTTTAATACATTTCAGAGATGATAAGTTCTGGAGGTTGACTGTTACATTGTCACAGAGCAAACAGCATGAACGATTAACAATGCAAGCTTTCTGCACACTGCTCCCTCCGACAGGCATTGAATGAAACTTAAGGGATCTTGGAGAAGGGAGCAGCTCATTCCATACCTATTTGACTCTTGGCCTTCTGTGCTAAGGGTAAAGGGATTTTGACAGATGCAGATGCGCATCCTGCAGGAACAGAAATCAGACCACCAAGATGACCACCACCAAAATTTGGGGTGAGGTGAGCA